GGGAAAGCAGAAGAGAAAGGAAGGAGAAGAGGGGAAAGGGAAAGAGAAAGGAAAGCGAGAAAGAAAGGCAAAGAAATGGTGCGAGAGGGAAAGAGAAAGGGAAACAGAAAGGAAAGCGAGAAAGAAAGGCAAAGAAATGGTGCGAGAGGGAAAGAGAAAGGGAAAGAGAAAGAGCGAGGGCAAGAGAAAGGAAAGCGAGAAAGAAAGGCAAAGAAATGGTGCGAGAGGGAAAGAGAAAGGGAAAGAGAAAGGAAAGCGAGAAAGAAAGGCAAAGAAATGGTGCGAGAGGGAAAGAGAAAGGGCAAGAGAAAGGAAAGCAAGAAAGAAAGGCAAAGAGATGGTGCGAGAGAAAAAAAAAAAGGAAAGAGAAAGGAAAGCGAGAAAGAAAGGCAAAGAAATGGTGCGAGAGGGAAAGAAAGAGGGAAAGAGAAAGATAAAGGAAAGCGAGAAAGAAAGGCAAAGAAATAGTGCGAGAGGGAAAGAGAAAGGGAAAGAGAAAGGGAAAGAGAAAGGGAAAGAGAAAGGGAAAGAGAAAGAGAAAGAGAAAGGAAAAGAGAAAGGGAAACAGAAAGGAAAAGAGAAAGGGAAAGAGAAAGGGAAAGAGAAAGGGAAAGAGAAAGGAAAGCGAGAAAGAAAGGCAAAGAAATGGTGCGAGAGGGAAAGAGAAAGGGAAAGAGAAAGGGAAAGAGAAAGGGAAAGAGAAAGGGAAAGAGAAAGGGAAACAGAAAGGGAAAGAGAAACGGAAAGAGAAAGGGAAAGAGAAAGGGAAAGAGAAAGGGAAAGATATGGTGCGAGAGGGAAAGAGAAAGGAAAAGAGAAAGGGAAACAGAAAGGGAAAGAGAAAGGGAAAGAGAAAGGGAAAGAGAAAGGGAAAGAGAAAGGGAAAGAGAAAGGGAAAGAGAAAGGGAAAGAGAAAGGGAAAGAGAAAGGGAAAGAGAAAGGGAAAGAGAAAGGGAAAGAGACAGCAAACATAAGGCGCTGTCATTTTCCTCCACCTCGCCGAAGCTCACCAAGTCCAGGGCCACACCTGCAGCTTGCTTCCATGTGCCCAAGCGTCTTCCATTGGGAGTGCTCTCTTTTTTTACCACAAAAGTCGGGGAACTCGGGCAACAATCAATATTGAACATGGCCTATGTGAACGACCAAACAGATTGAAGGGCCAGCATAGCCTCATCGTTCGGGCTGACCACCTCCTGTATCCTTGTTGCTGGACTGTCTGCTTCTACGCAAAAAGGTTTGTAGTTCGCCAGGGGGCAAAAATACTGAAGCAGGGCGCACAAAATGGGAAGCCCAAAACTGCAGGTCGAGCCGCTGTTCTTCTTCAGGTTCTTGCCCAAAGCCTCCAACTCCTGCAACAATCGCCAAGCGTGTCTTGATACGCGGTCTAGAAGCAGGTCCAACAGCTGCACTGGAGAAGTTGAGTGCCAGTTCAACGCTTACGCCAATTCCAGCAATAGGGATGCAACAATGCCATGGCACAGAATCACTGCAACTTCATTCACTGGCATCAGCCAAGCCATGCAAGCCACGACAAAGTCATTGGCACCTTGTCGGTGGCAGTCACAGGGCTGCCGACAAACGCAATGATCCTTGCCGCGTCAAACTCAGCTCTGTGAAGGCTTTCCACTCGGGTTGCCAAGGACTGGAAATTCAGCCAAATCGGCTTGAAAGCAAACATGGGATGGCAAACGAGAAATGACCGAGCCAAACAGTCTCTCGCGTTACGGTCCTCTGCTTCTGCTTTTTGTTCTGTCGGTGCTTCAAGGCCTCGGCCGTGCCCTAGCCGTCTGTGTGACACGTAAACTCGCTGTTTGGACCAACGTGCAACTAAAAGTGGGTTGGATGTCCATTGCCGCGGTCCATTTCCCAGAATCTGACTAGCTGAGCTGTCTGGATTGCTCGCAACAGGTCTGCGGCGCCGCCTGAGTCAAGCGCGCGGCATCACAAACATGTTGTGTGGTGTGTGTGTATATATATATACACGTATTATATAATATGTATAAATATATATATATATCTATATATATATATATATGTATATACTCGCCCACCACCACCACCACCACCACCACCACTCAAGGAAGAAGAAAAAAATGGGCCACACTCAAATGGATGGGCTACGCTGAGATCTTGAGACGCAGTCTCCAAATCAACCGACCCTTTGACGTTCACTACAGACTGCATACCTGCACTGCGTTGGAATGAAGTGGAGACCAACTTGTTTGAAGTCGAACGTGGAGTCCCAAAAAGCAGATCCTTGGAAAGCTTTTAAGACCTCAGACTTTTTGAGGCTAGTCCCGGTATTCTTTGGGACCTCTCTAGGTGCGAAACCTCAAGCCCATAAGTCATTCCGTGTTTAGGTGCAATTCAATTTCTCTAAAACATAGTATAGAGTGGCATTCGGAAACTGAACCGTTGTGTTCGGAAACTGAAACGTGGAATTCGGAGCTGGTATTTGGAAACTAGAATTTGGAAACTGCGACAGTGGGATTCGGAAACTGGCAACGTGGTATTTGAGAACAAATATTCCGACACCAAAGGGTGGTGTTCGGAAACTGGGATTCGGAAACTGGCGGAATGTGGTAGTCGGCATTGCGCAGCCTGAAAACCATTCTCGACGTTCACATCAATGTAGCATTGGGAGTTTTCAGGAAACTGGTCTGGGTCCGGGCTCCCTATCTTGCCTACTGAAACACACGGGTCTCTGAAAACCCAGCAACATCGGAAACGCAAGACCTTCGCCACCCGCGTCTGCAAGACTCAGTACCCAATGCTTGGGCCATTGATATTGGGCCATATTGAGGCCCTTTCACCTGGAAACCATCTAAACAATGTGTCTGATGCAAAAGTCAGAAGTAAAGGGAGATTCGGGGCTAATACCAAGGGCCCATACAACAATGTCTAGGAATGTTCCTTCAATAGATGTTTAGTATAATTCTATGACAAACTTAAACTGAACTAGAAACTCCATTTCAAACTAGAATTCAAATAAGAATTTCTTTCCAATAGGATTCTAATTTAAGACGAAATTAGCATGGAAAGAAATGTCATTGTTATTAGAATTCACGCCGAATTTCCTTTCCAAACAGATTTGCAATTAACATCGATCGTAAATGAAATAAAGTTCAATGAGGAAAACACTATAGAAGTGTCTTTACAAATTAGACAAAATGGATTCCAATAAGGAAAACACAGTTCCACCTTGCATTGGAAGATAGAACACTTACATAGAATTCCTGACCAAATAGGACTTTGAGATTCAAGCTAGAATTTGTGGCATAATCTGATAGCTTGTGAGCACGCGGCTGGCTGACGCACCCGGTGAGCAGAGAAGCTGGTTCGCACATGGAGTAGCACGGCAAATAATAGCCGCAATACAGCCCACACAAACGCAAAACAAAGTGCAGGTCCATTACACATACCAAACACACATCCGAAATTGTTCGTCAAAACACCGAGAAAGCATGGAAAAGCAGGGCCCATGGCGTCCCCCGCCCTCTTTTGAGGTTACCCTTGCGACTAAACAAAATTGGGTAAGCCAGCAATTTGGGTGGCAAGGGGGGCATGCTTCAGTTTCTGGAAGTGAAGCCTTCCAGCAGTGCCTTCTCAGCTTCCAGAAGGAACGGCCGTCAAGGTGAGAGTCTGCTATGAATTCCTCAAGTTCGAGACTTTGAGGCCTGGAAGCCCCCAAGTGATGTAAGGTCGAAAAAATCGCAACGGATTGGGTACTGGTTTCCTGACGAGATTCTGGTTTGGAATAAACAAGCCAAAGCCAACCAAAAACATTAAAATAAAAAATGTCTGCTACACCAAAACGCCGAGGTAGATCATTGGGGGTGGGGATGGCCATGTGTATGATACGCATATGAATGTGTGTATATATATATATATATCAAACACACGCCACAATTGTGCTGACAGGTCATATCGTGGAAAACATGAGTCCCGGGTTCAGCCCATCAGGCCTATCTGTACCTTGTTCAGCTCCGTGACCTCAGCTGCAGAGAGGCCATGGTTTGCAACAGCTCTTCTGCGGGTGGATTTGCTCTGCAAGGTCGAGCTTCCTGCAAGGCTACTTTTGGTGCTCTGAGTCACGTTCATCTGAGCTATTGTGCAACTACCGAGCACTCTGAGCAAGAAGCCAACCTACCCAGGTCTGCTGTCGGTGTCACCATGACCTGGCATCGGTGCGCCAAGTCACACTGCTTGTCACGATGCATGTACGTCACCAAAAGCCCCTCCAGACTCCTGTGCCTCGATGCGGTCGCCGGCACTCGCCAGGATACCGACTGCATTCTCGGGATTCTGGTTTGTCCTGCCAAATCTCCAGGCATCACATGTCATCAACTAGATCTCGCGGCTGGCAAATCCCAAAAAAGCATGCCAAGGCGTCTTCGCACCACACAGCAGGTTGGCAGCATCGGTTTGAGAGTCAAAGCGGGTTGGCATGTAGTCGCCATTCCTGGCACAACACTGCTCCACCTAATCAAGTGCAAGAAAGACGTCGGAGCCTTGCTGCAAGACTCTGCAATAAGGCTGTAACCAAAAAACATAAACACCTGTACCACAATTGCAGTTCAAGACAATGAAGGCAACATGCATCCAATGCTTGCCACTGCGTAAACCATTTGCCACAGTCACCTGGAGTAATCCGAATTGTCCAAGCAGATCATTACCTGGGCCCAAGCAAAAAGAAACTCAGAGACAACCCAGGTATGAAGCAAAACCCTGGAATTGGCCCACATTCTCCAGTATTTCTTGGATACATCCTTCACTTCAAAAGCTGCGCCGAAACTTTGCCTCAGCTCAATGCAAACGCCTCTTTTTTCCACCGCTGTCATGTGGCAACGCTCTCGCCTGCAGTCAACAGTGTAAATTTCACAGGGTTCGGAAAAGGCCTTCTCTGCCCTCAGTGCCTCGCACACTACCGACACAAGACTAGGCATATTGCGCAGCGCCTCATCTTGTACATCATAATAATCTTGCCACCACTGTTAGCACCGCTATCAACAGCGCAGCCACTATCAACACCAGCATCACCGCCACTATCCGTCAGCATGACCACACCAGCGCCGTCGCCGCAGCCGCCACTTTCACTATCAGCAGATTGTGTTTATTTGTTTGTCATGATGATGTCGTCCTTCCTCCTCTTATTCTCCCTCTTCGTCTTACTGTCTCCTGTGTTTTGTCTTCTTCTTCTTCGTCGTCTTCTTCTTCTTCGTCTTCTTCTTCTTCTTCTCAGCTCCTGCTATATTCGCTTCACCATTGATGGGCCACGACTGAGAACCGCTACTCACCAACCAGTCCAAACTGCTGCTGAGCTGCAAAAATCCGCCGACCCCTCTCTCCAAAGGAGAGGCGCATGGGAAGGGTTTGTCTTCGCCCCTGTCTCCGTGAGGATTACCATCACCACTGATGTTTCGCAGCATCCGGATCATTAGTGATGATTATCATCAGAATGTCGTCACGGTAACTGCTGGCGATGCTGGGGATGCGTAGTGATTATTATCATCCGGATCATCATCATCATCATCATCATCATCAGTGGATGCATAGTGATGTTTATCAGCATCACTGATGTTGGGTGATGATTTGCATCATCAGGATCATCATCATTATCGTGGCGCTCTTCTTTTTCATATACGTTCCAGTGACGATTATCATCAGGATGTTGTCGCGGTAACTGCTGGTGATGCTGAGGATGCGTAGTGAGGAGTATCATCGTCAAAATATTTTGCATCATCAGGATCATCATCATCATTATCATGGCGCTCTTCTTTTTCATATATGCTTTAAGCGCGCCGTTAAACCCGACAAAAATTGCGTATTCATAATTGTCATAACAACGTCCCCTGTCAACCAGCCGGGGACGGCGGCACAGGGCGGTAGCCCTTAAATCCGGCTACACCTCTGGGGGTAGCACGTCGCCGCTAGGCAATTAGCCTGCTAACTTTGGCTATACGGGGGCTGCACCCTGGTGCTTCCGCCCCTCGCCACTTGGTCGTGATGCGCTGCCTAAACCCGGCACCTCTGCATCACCAGCTCGGGCTTGCGGTTTTGCTTGCCTGTGGGAAACCCTCGCAAAACATCGCGTATATGCAGGGTTTAGGCCATGTGGCTGACATCATCAGGGTCTGGGGTTGGGCCTGGGTGATGCTTCAGCGGGGCTTGGTCTGCATCATCAAGACTTCCTTCCAAAAAGCCGCTCAACCCATGAAGTACTGTTTTTTAGAAGGTATCGGAGGGATATAAGCGTGGCGCATATTCGCGCATTTTGGCGCCAAGCGCTGCCGGGCATGCCGGCGATGCTGGGTCCTCGCTCTACAAAACGCTGTAAATACCGTCAAAAACTGCTGCGCTGAGCGGCGGGCTGTTGTTCTGTCCGTTTTGCTTTTGCTGTGGCTGGCCCGCGTGCTGCGCGGTCCTTGCTTTGTTCCCGTTGGTTTTCGGGCTTTCTGGCGCGCGCGCGCGCGACCCCAGCCACAAAACGCTGCTATTTACAGCGTTTTGTTGCATTTGCGTTTCCGGGCTGGCTTGCGGGCTGCTCTTTTTGGGCTGCTCTTTCTGGGGCCTCTGGCGCGCACGCGCGCGCATCATCTGGGGTTGGGGCGGGCAACATGCATTCCCTAACCAGCCATATCATAGCACACGATACGTTTCTCATACACAAAACATGACATGACATGGTACAACTTTAAAGAGGCGTAGCCGGTTAGAGGCCGCAGGCCCAAAAAATATTACCCGACCTGCTTACAGTATGCCTGTCCCGCGCGCATGTTTTCGACTCTGATGGCTAGGTCATTATCACCGACTCCAGAGGAGTCGCAAACCCCAAATGTGAAACTGTCGAAGGCGTTGCTTCGTCTCGGAAAAAAGGCGGCTAAGGTGGCTGCAAAGCAAACCTAGCCTTAGGCCTTCTGAGCCTCCCTGGCCACAATAAACCTCAAGCATGCTGAGAGATGTCGCCATCACCATTGTCCGCGGCCTTCTCAACGTTCAAGCTGCAAAGCGCCGCGTGCAGAGCTGCAGACTCGGCCTCTGAAGCCACTTCCATCCATGCCCTGATCTTCTTGCAGTCTTCCACCTGCGGCCACGACAAAATCAAATTCAAAGGTAGAAAAACCAATGAAACACTTTGAGCCCTGCCCAGTCCCACTCGTTGGAGTCTTTCCTTGCTGCCCTTTAAACCAGCCTGAAAAGGGTACCAGCTTCGAAACGCAACTCCCATAGCTTTGACGGCCTCCTCCTGGAGCTGGGCGATGGTGTCACCCTGGTACTCCAAGGCCTCGGCAGCGCAGGCCATCCCTCGCCGCAAAAGCCGATGCCGGGCATCCAGCTCATCGCCAACGTCCTCGCAACAGTTACAAGCTGAGACAAGTTCATGGCACAATTCCCTTTTTGCGAGCACAAGCGGATGACACAAAAAAAATTGGCGACCGAGTTCAATCAGTCTTGGATTTTGGGCGCGCTTGCGGCTCCTATCATTGGGCAGGCATGCACGCATTGCTGAGCGGGTGTGCTTGCAAGTTGACATGGTTGTCGTACTGTTTGGCATTCGTTGAGCGGGCTCAGTTGAGCTTGCGAGCTCATCATATGACAGGCATATTTCTGTGCTGAGCTGGAGCTTGAGCGGTTGTTCTTGCCAAAGTTGGCAGGCATGCGAAGCGGGCGTGCTCGAGCAGCTGTTCCTGCTCAAGGGCGCTCTCATGATTTGGCAGGCCACTCCAAAATGCACACCCGCCAGTCCTGCCAAATGATCACCGCACACGCGCAAAAAGCACGTGCTCAGCGCTGCGCGCAGGCTTTCCAAATCGAACAAGCACGCCCAGTCAAGCCATATTATAAAGCGCTTGAATCGCCACAGCGCTTTGCGCACATGCAAGCCAAATCACGTGTGCGCGCCCGCTTCCGAGAATAGGCTCCCGAGAATAGGCTCCCGAGAATAGGCTCCCGAGAATAGGCTCCCGAGAATAGGCTCCCGAGAATAGGCTCCCGAGAAGGTCGTAATAATAGGTCCAATAATATTGAGGGGGGTGAATAACAAGAGATAAGCATTGATATGCGCTCCTGCTCAAGCGTGTGCGCCATTGCACGCATGGTCGTCAAACGATAAGCGCGCTCGCGCAAGAGCATGCGCTAAGCACTTTGCACCTGCCGATAAAAATATGAGTGCCCCTGCTCAAGAGTTTGCGGAACGCTGCACGCACGCCTGCCAACTGACACACGCTGCAAACCCGCCTGCCGGATTCTGGGGTTCTCAAGTTCCCAACTCTCGGGTTCTGTCTCGGATGCTCTGGTTCTCAGGTTATCGGTTCCTCTGCTTTCTCGGATGGTACCAGCGCGATCGTTGAGCTAATTAAATGCTCTGCGCGTGAAAAAGCTATGGAAAAGCTGGAAAACGCGAGCGCTGGGAATAGAAGCGCCCTGTACGTGAATTCGGCCCTGGCATATGTGCGCAAAGCACATCGGTCGCAACGTTTGTACGGACGTGGTCTCGGAGCGAAATCGAAGCGACGTCGGAGCGGTATCGGAGACAGGTCTATTGGCACTGCCACACGCACTCTTTCGCAATCTTCATAAAGTAAACCCTCTGAGCACTTTGGGTGGGCCGGACCTTCAAAACTCGGGTTTGTTTGTTCTACGACCCTCTGCGAACCCTCTGCGCACTCTTGATGGGTCTCCCTCAAACAACTCGTGCTGTTTGTGTGTTTATGTGGTCAGTTTGCGCAACCAGCAAAAGGTGAACGCTCGGCCCAAAAAAACACGCGGTTGTCTGCGCTGCTCACTTTCGTGGGCTGGGGAGAGAGGGAGAGAGAGAGAGAGAGAGAGAGAGAAAAAGAGAATGAGAAAGACGAAGAGAAAGAAAACAAAAAATGAGAAAGAACAACAAGCAAAGAGGACCAGAAAGAATAACAAAAAGGAGAACAAAAAAAAGAAACCGGAAAATATTAAAGATAAAAGGAAAGAGAAGCAAGAAACTAGAAAGAGAAAAAGAAAGAGAAAAAGAAAGAGAAAAAGAAAGAGAAAAAATACAAGAAGGAGAAAGAGAAACAAGAAAGAGAAAGAGAAAAAGAGAAGAGGGAGAGAATCGCTCTCCAAACTTTAGTTCTTATATCTTTGCAACTTCCGCTCCCCGGCTCTGCCAGCCTTTACTGGTAACAAGGCAAAGCCTGCAGCCTGCTGCATTTTTGAGTCCTGCGAACGTCGAACCTTCTGCTTTCCCACTCCTGTAGCCCCATGCGCCGCCTACTCCACTCTGTGACTTCCGCGTCTGCAAGTTCTGCAGCAATGCGGCGGCACTCTTGCGCCTCCTGAAGCACACGGATGCACACGGCAGAGAAGGGGTCACGCTTCCTTCGCTGTGTAACATGAGGCAATGTTGACTGGAAACTTATGCGCCAGTCCCCACAATATTGCTGGGCAAGCATGACTGAGCACATGCAGAGATGGCAATTTGCAGACCCTACCAGAACCTAGACTGCTGCGGTCCCGAACTGAAATGGAGAAGACAATTGCAGGGCCAAGCGGATGGAAGATTACCAACAGGCCTGGCAAACAAAGGGGTTCTTTGTGCGTCGTCCAATCAAAGAGGAACCCCATCAAAATCGGCCCAAGAGAATATGAGGGTGTATGTGCCAAGAAAGAGGACATGCAAAGCTAGTGTCTGTCTGAAAGCGCAACCGCCGCGCCTTGGCCTCAGCACGCAGCTTCGCCGCAGCCCAAGCGGTCGCCTGCCTGGACTCCTCTTCCAGGCCCACAGCGAGCTCCGCACCCATAGCGCTCTCCGCCTCTGGCCGGCAGCGCGGCATTTGAGTCATACTCAAAACCCTGTGCTAAACGGATCCACCCAGAACCTGCTAAAAGACTTAAGGCGGCGGCCGCAGCTATTTATGGTTGGGAGTATCCCTTACTCACCTTCATCTACCCGGGTTTTGATTGTGGCTCATTTCGTGTGCAAAGTGCACTTGAAAGAATGATATTCAATTGAAACATGCCCAAGACCTCAAGTTTTCTATAGTTGCAAGAAAGACTCCCCTTAAGTTCTCGTTTCTTTCTCTTGTACAATGGAATGTTGGAATGCTTCCACCAATTCCCACTCCACAAGGTGCGTGTACTGTTGCAGATGTTTCTAACTTGAGATTGCCCATTTGCACCTTAAGTGCAACCTCCAAGCGCGTCCGCAGAGAAGCGCCACGGAAAAAGTCCTGCAGGGCGTGGACTGGACATGTGACGAGCGCCACCAGGGGAGAGGCCCAAATCTCCATGCAGAGTCAGTAGTTTCCGACAGCCGGAAGATATGCTGCGGGTTGTTGGCCTATATCAAGGAGAATGGCAAGCTAGAACATCTCGAAACCCGCGCTTTCATGAATCGCAAGAGGAATGGGTACATGCGTAGGCATTTAGAACAATCCCGTCAGCAAGCACAGAATCAAAAGCATGCACAAAGGCAAGTGGGGAAGCAAGTAAGCATGCACACCAATACATAATCCCACGTGGATTCAGCTGCACCCCTCCTCCAGGACAAAATCCAAGGGACCTCTCCAAAAAATCGCAAGTCTCCAAAATTGCAGTGTCCTCGCATAAGAACGCCCCAAAACATCCCGAGCCTCAGACGCTGTCTCCGCTTCCCCAAATGGCCCCGTCCCTCCCGTCCCTCCCGTCCTCCCGGCGGCGGCGCCGGAGCTCCCCGGCACAAGCCGCGCACCGCTCGAGGCCGCGGAGGCGCTGCTCAAGCGCCTTCGCGGCGCGAGGCGCAAGGTGCGCTTCGCCCCGTTTGACACCGACATCGAGCTTCTGGTTTTGCTTCTATCGAATTGTCTGCGTCAACCAGTCAGAGTTGATGGGGAGGATTTCTCCGTGTCCAGGAGAGTATCAAAAAAGCCTTGGCACAGAAAGCTCTGGTTTAAGAGGCTTGAAAGAGCCTCCTGCTGCAGCTCCAATTGCTCCGTCTGCAGCACCGTCTTGCGCGGGCTCTGCAGACCCACCTAGCAAAATAGTGCGCGGCTTGTTGCGTGGGTAGAAGAAACGGCCCTATCAACTTTGCAGGTTGATGGATGTCCGTGCTTGGTTTCATTGTGATTAAATTAGGCTGCTGCTCAGTGGATCGATAGGCAGGAAGGCTTGAAGATCAGGGCTCCCTATGTTTCCCTTTGAACATTACCCTGCAAAAAGGAAACTCACCTTCAATGGGCCAAAAAGCACCTTGATGGGCATTCATTGGGGAGCACTGAAGGGGGGGGAACTCGCCATGCCACACACGGCCTGTCTGCGCTCCTCCAGAAACGCCTGCGCTGCTGCAAGCCGGCGACGTAGGTTGCCCATGACTGCTGGCAGCCTCATCTCTGTCGGCCCACGGTCAAGAACCCAAAAGGACACGGGACTTGAGGGCTCACCCTCTCAACTCCCCGAATCAAGATGTTCCATGGTTTGCAACTGTTTGGTATTTGAAGCTGGGGTCCTTCCTGAAGCTTGGCGATATGACGCGCAAGGAACTGTAGCAATCAGAATCTGTGACCGGGAACTCGATGACTGCACCTTCTGATTCTGCAGAAAATGATGCAGACTTTGAAGCAAGGCAAATTTGGGGCCCATGACACGCAACAAGGGCCTCCATGCGGCGAGCTTCTTGCAGCCACGCAGGAGCGTTCCCGGACCCGGATCGTTGCTGGCCGTTCAAAGCCAGGATGTGGCAGGGAAGCGGACAAGGGCAGAGGGGGGCGAAAAGCTTTTATGGGCTGGTTCAAGTCCTGAAGACGAGATCTGCCCATAGACTTGCTAAAGCCGAACTCAGCTAGCTGCACTACATTTCATGAGAATTGAAAATTAATGAGTTTCCGTGTCCCTCCCAAATGGACCATAGACTTTCAAAGACCCCCTGCGTGTCCACCCGGAATAGGGGTGGCGGGAGGTTGCCGCGCTTGCCATGGACAGTGCGCAAAAGAAGGTTTCGCAGTCTGGGATTACAGACAACTGGGAGGAACCGACAGAAGTTCTCACCTTCGATCTTTTTCTTGCATGCGTGACCGCACTTCCTACATGTGAACCAGGGCTGGTTGAGCTATGCAAAGTTCTGTAGTATGGACTTTCTTGTTACACTTCCTTTCATTACTTCACCTGATGACAGACCATCATACTTGGGCCATAACAAACCACAGTTCATTCTAGCTCATATTAGCCTGCCATGCTGCACTAAATACATACAGCAACACAGACAACAGACTCTGCATTCGGGAAATCCGGCTCGCGCTGAAAGAATCAGCCTAACTCTGCCAAGCGGCTCCGTAAGGTCCAGCTTCCCCAGCAGCTGCCAGCCGCGCCGGCAGAGCCGGGCCTCCCTCAGCGCGGTCGAAGGCTCCGAGGGCAGGTCGCCCCCTTCCGCAACGCGGGCGGCGCGCCGCTCCGCACGGACAGCCTCGCAGGTCTCCAAGTGATCCAGCTCTAAGCCGCTGATGCGCATCTCCACCTCGCACAGCTCCTGGAGGTGCTGCTCCTCGAACACATCTGGTTGCCTTGGAGGCTTCTCGACGCGCACTTCCAAAAGAGCAGCCAGCTCCTGAAGGCGCTCGCTGTCACGACTCTTGAGGAGCTCCTGGTGCTCCTCCTTCAACTCGGCAAGCTCGGCCGTCAGTTGCGCAGGGACTTCCACCGGCTCCATTTCAGCTTCAACTGCCAGCGCGAGCTCTTGCTTCAGCTCCAGGCACCTCTCCTGCGCTGCCGCGAGCTGTTGCTCGCCTGCTCCACCGCCGGAGCCACCTGTGTCACAGGAGGTCTCGACCTCAGGCACGCGGTTCTTTAATGCCTTTGCCAGTGCTGAGACCTCCATCGCGCTGTGTCTGGCATGGTTGAAGGCCTGCTGGGCAGCTTGCATACCTCGCTCGGAGTCCTGGCTTTGGTGCTCCAGGCTCTCCAGCTGCTCACGCATCTCGGCACAACTTTGCTTGACCCCACGGAGGCGCTTTTGCTTTCCCCGGACTGCTGCGCGCTTCTGCTTCTCCGACTCCGCGCGCTGCTGGGCCAAAGCTGCAAGATCAGCCTTGGCGAGGTCGACAGCACCTTGGAGTTTGAGCTTCAAGTCGCGCTGCTCCGCCGCCCGTTGTCGGGACAGAGCATCAGCTTTGCTGGCTTCTTGCTTGAAGGCATTGGCCTCCTCCTTGAGCTTTGCCACAGCAAAGGACCTTGTCACCTCCTCCTGCTCGGCAAGCACCTCGTTTTGTCCGGCATGCAAGCAAACCACGGGTGAAAGCAATGAGCCTGGCAACATGAAAGGCAACAGAAAATGGAGTTCTTTGAACACAAGCGCCTGGCTATACAACTCCTCCGCCTTTCTGACGGCTTGGCGATGCTTTCGCATCGACTCCTCAAATCTTTGCTCCAGTTGCAGCGCCATCTGCTCATCGTCGAGCATGGAGACACCTGCAACATGCAGCTCGAGCATTCGCAAAAGCCATGCCCAACAAAGACCCGCAACTCAAGAAAGGGCTACAAAGCAAATACAAAACAGCTGTGAACTAGACGACGCGAGGCCCGCAAACATAAACCTACCAAGTGTAAAGGGCAGCGGCGTGATTGTGGTCAGGCTTCCTCTGCCTAGCCTCTGTATGCGAGCTATCCCTGCGCTATCCTCCGCAAGATTTCTGTGCATGTTGTTCTGCGCAAGCTCCGCATGCAAGTTTCTCTGTTTTATGCAAGTGGGTCTGTGCAAGCTCTCCTTGCAAGTTCTCTCCGCACCGGTCTCTGCGCAGCTTCTGTCTGCGAGTTTCTCCGTGCAAGACCTCCATGAAAGTTTCTCTGCACACTCCCTCAGCGCAGGTTTCTCTAAGCAAGTTTGCCTCTACGCAAGATTGCCTCCGCCGGATACTCTGCTCAAGCTCTCTGCGCAGTCCTCTGCATGCTTCTCTGCTGCAAGTTTCGCCGCCCGCCTTTCTCAAGATGCGGGAGCGCACTCCTTGTATACTTTTGCACTGAAAAGTTGTTCTTTTCAAGCTGGGGCGAGCCAAGGAATTCGAGCCCAGGACCCCTGGCTTCCAAGCGCGGGCACGCAACCTGCAAGACAAACTTCGGACGTTTGACCACGCGCTCGCGCTTCCGACAAGAGTCTTCCAGCGCAAGTATTCGGATTAAGTTGCACGCGAGAGTCTTCTGGCACAAGTCTTCAAGTGCAATCTCGCAATCTCTCGAAGCAATCTCACGTGCAATCACTCTGAGCAGTCTCTCCGGTGATATCCCTCTGTCAAATCTCTCAGGCGACTCTAGCGGCCAAACCCTTCGCCTTGGGAGCTCCATCCCGCCACAGGCTCCGTCCCCGCGGGCTTAACGGGCGACCTGCAGGGCTCCGCCGGCTCCGGCTCCGCCTCCGCCGGCTCCTCCGGCTCCTCCGCCTCTCTTCGCGAGCTGAAGGAGCCCAGGGAGCTGAGGGACGCCGACTGGAGCAGCCGCCGGCTCTCCGTGATGACCTGCCGCGCCGTGTGGGCGATCTGCCGCACGCGGCCGGACGCACTTGCCATTCATCCTAGCTGAGTTGCGCAACTCGAAGGTTGAATCTGGTTCAATGCCCGAGTCTTGGGTCGAAGCATGTTTCAACGGTCATATCTACTAGGACTGGGTAGCCTGACAATATGTCCAACATGTTGAAATTGGATTCCAAACCATAACAGTCATCGCCAGCACGCCGCTTCCCCGAGAAATGCTGGATCATTCCCCATTTCTCTTAGCGTACACCTCTGAGCCATAAAGACTGCCGGGAACGTGCACAAAGGAGATGAGGAAGCTTCCAGAGTCACGCTGTGCAACAATAGTTGAAGAAGATTTGTCGTAACACTCCATCACTTGCTCGCTTCAGCTTGACACCAGCCTGCCAGGGTGGTAGGCCCAGTCAGCGCTCCTCAAGTGTCCGGATCTGAGAGTCCCCACCTCGCTGCCTGACTGCACAAGCCCTCAGAGCTATAACCAAGCAAATGGTGGAGGCTAGCACCAAGAATGCCTCGTCGAATTGGAGCACGTGACGCTTTGCTGCAGGTAAGGCATGACTCCGCTCAGTTTCTGCCAAGCAGCCACACGAATTTCGCCGGCTTGATCGGCTCCTCAGCAAAGTATCCACCCAATCCATCGTCTTTTGAATGAAGAAAGGCCACAACCCGATGTGCAATTTTGGCGTGTTCCACTGTCATCATCTTCCCTATTTGAATCACCACGACAAGTATCAGGGCTTGCACCGAATGAGTACTAATGATTGAACATTCATGTTCATGCATGCAGCAAGCGAAGCTTCGGAAAGAAACAGAAGACATGTAAAACACAATGTATATAGTTTGATCTGGATCAACTGACACGCCCTTCCTGTGAGAATGCTGCACTGGGGATCCAGCGGCAGGCGAAAAAAGGCATGGAGACCAACTCACTTGCCATTGGATTCGTCAAGGCGAAAACTGTCAGCAAGCTGTCTGTGATGACGTGATGATTGGCGTTTGAGAAATGATGTCGTTACAAATAGCTTCCCCTGGCAGAAAACCAAAAAGAACAGCCAAAGAACAGCCACCGGGCCCGAAACAAAATGCAGCTCCCATTTCACGTGTTTCCCAAGACAAATTGGCACTGATGGAACGTATACCCCTACAGTTTCGCTCCTCCCCCATCTAAATGGAGCTACGTCCTAGGAAGCTACCACCTGCACCCAACCCGCAGCTGGCCTGCGGGCTGTGCCTCGGCTCGCGCAATGTGCCCATTTGGACAATCGCTGCTGTGCTAGATCGATGGAGATATGGACCAAATTTGAACGGTGCTAGTGCATTTTGAGGATATGGGTCATATCGTCCACTCACCCTTAGCCCCGCCATGTTGCAACTTGCACTTGCTGCGCAACCGGGGCAGCGCTCTCCTCGGTCCAAGGCAAAAGTGCCCATGCCGGTGGTCTCTACACTGAAAGATGTTTGAGTTCACTCGCCACTGTTCCATCCATAAACGCAATCCCGTCTGGGGACCCAACCATTCCCTACTCGACCCTTCATCAACCCTGAAGCCAACCTACATCAGACGGCCCCAGCCCTGGAGCATTCCTATCCGAAGGGAAAGGGGTTCCCCACAAATACTGCTTCAAAATTAAGGTGAATGAAGATAGATTCCCCTGGCATTTTTTTGAAAAGTAAGCGATTGCCTTCTCCGGCTCAGAAAAACACGACTTTTCAGTATAAGAGTAGTACGCACACTTTGGCAGCTTCAACGTGCCATAACAGCTCTGCTATCGTTATGGATAGAAAATCAGCTAACCTTCTGTGGGGAAAGGACATTACTCGTATCTAAATTATTATTAACTATAACTCGATTCTAGATATGAATCCATGTGCGAATTACAATTCAACACTAACATACATTTGAGAAGAAACTCCTTTCGAATGTACGCATTGTTTTCCTAGCTCGATGTAAGAATGTCAATAGCATGAATTGAAAAACAGATATGAAAAGAAGACCCCATTGGAAAGGATGTGTCAAGTTCAAACCAAATTCATCATTAAGCGATTGCATTTCCTTATACATTCTGCCAAACTCGAAAGCATAACTATTGAAATTGCAAGCTGAAGTTGAATTCAGCTTCAATTGCACGACGTTGGTTTTCCTTATGTAACTCAACACATGAATTTAATTAAGCAGGAACTGATCCAAGCCAACAACAGCAAAGTGCTTCAATCAACATGGATCTGCTCCTTAATACAAAATGCAATAAAATGCAGCATGTGTTGGATCATCCTTCCTCCCCTCGAAAAAGGGTCAAGCTGGGTAGTGTATGTCCTTTGTTCCCGGCTCAAACTGGGCACCTCTATGTGAAGAAACAGAGTGTTTCTGAAAACACTTACAAAAATGGTTCTGGATTTCAGATCCAAGATCCAAGATTGCACAGAAAAGTTTCTCGGGAATGTTGATTCCAGGCCGCTCAACAAGTGAATGTTTTTGGATAGAGAATGTTTCGCAACATGTTGGCACATGATGCCCACAAACCGACAGAACTACTGGACCAAAACGACACATGGCTGGAATGTGTTGTTTTTGTGCTCAGTGTTTTTGTTTTGTGTTGTTGACGTTTTGTCCATTGCAGTCTGCCTAAATGGTCTGCAACATTCGGACATGTTGCGCAACACATATCCTGGACCAAAACACAAAAACAAAAACGTAAAAGTGCAACCCCCGCCATGGCTGGATGTTTCTTTTTGAACTTGGTTTCTTGAGCTCTTGGCTTGTTGGTGTTGGTTGTTCAACAAAAGCCAAATGGTGCGCAACATGTAGGGAGCGTTGTGCAAACGGTCGCAAATCAACCAAACTTGGAGCCAGAAATGCTACTTCTTGAGGTGTGTTTTTTGGAGAGTGGCGCCAAATGCCAGAAATGCTAGTTTCAGTAAAATGTGTTGGCGAGTGGGGACATGCAGTTGATATATGCAAAAAGGTAGGTTGGGGTACCCTGCATGAAACACTGTCTACGCCCCTACGGTATCAAATAGCCAGCCTGAGGCCA